CCCATTCCTTTACCCCGAGACCAGAACAATCTTCTCGTTAAGCTATTATGCACATATATACAACATTGTCTTCTCCCCTACTTGAATATGCAACATGGCTATGTAATTATAATGTTTGAACTTTATTTTGGTATCTGAAGAATGGTTTGAGGAGTGGGACATGATGATGTTGAAGTCAATGAATGTGATCACAATAACTTGTATGATCAAAGGAATCTCATGAGGACTAGCCTATCAAATTCAAGCAAACTTAGCAAATCAATTCTTTGATAAATTGAGTTTGTGATGCATGACCACATCTTGTACTCAAGTTAACAGTGCACGAGACACTTATATTTTGCTCTATGTTGCGCCTCCTAAGCTTGATATTACTTGGTGAAGGTGGCAACGATCACAAAGTTAGGTTTGGGGAAGTACTAGTATACCACGATTAAGGGTGTGCAAAAAATCCAAATTGATCTGAACCGATCCATAATCGATCCGATTTGAATTGAAAAATCCAATCTATTTTGATAATAAAAAATTCGAACCAATCCACTTTACAAAATCGGTTTAGCTATCTGATCCATTTTTATAAAGTGGATCGGTTCGATTTAAAAAAAGAGAGCCATATATGAGTAAAAAATGGATAACTACACTGTACTGAATTGATCCAATGTAAAAAAAAAAATAGTTCATATTTTAAAAAATTCAAACCAATTCACTTTATAAAAAATAGATTGATTAACCGATCCACTTTTATTAAACGGATCGGTTCGATTCAATTTTGTTTTTTTTAAATTCTGATCCATGAACACCCTTAACTACAATAAGAAATAGCTTTATTGATTGTGTTTTTGAGAAAAAACAACGAAATTCTAAAAAAAAAATATAAATTAGTAAAATATTATGACTCAAATATTTTTTAAAACATAAAATAATTATTATAAAAGTTTGTAATCATATTGCACATGAGGATTTATTGTTAAAAAAATGTTTAAGTTATTAATTCGTTAAGATTAAATTCTTATATAATGTAGTTTCTTACTATCAAAATTAAGTTCAAAACTAAAATATGCACAGAATTTTAAACATAAAGTTAAAAAAGTTGGTAAATGGCTTAGTTTGTAAAGATAATAAATAATATTTGTGATAAAAGAAGGTCACAACTCACAAGACACTTTCCTTAATCTCCGCACCATGACTTTATAGTTTTATACAATAATTTTGATGATCATCTTGTCTAATTAATTATTTCCATTAAACATTAGTACATTAAAGCTTTCTCAAACTCTTGTTTGGTGACAAAGAAAATAGCATGAAACGAAAGGGAAAAAGTGTAAATAAATGTGTAAAAATAAGAATGCGTGTTTGTATTTGGTATGGCAAAAATGGAGGGGTGAGAAATATAAAGATGCAACAACCTACTTTTATTTATTTCCGCGCACATCGCATAGATAAGTAAAATAGTAGAAAAAAAAATGTGGAGTTCGCATTTGTGACCGTTAGAAAACACAATCTTTTAAAAATAATTTCCTTGTAGATATGGCGATTTGTTGATCATTGCATACATTTTTTTAAAATATTTTTTATTTAATAAATTAAAAAATCTACAGTTGATTAAAACATGGATGGTACAGATTCAATATCATTATCATGTGATTATTAAAAACATTAATAATTATTTTTTATTTTTTTTTATTTTTTCAAATAAAATAATCAAATTTTTACTTTATTTTTTACATATTTATTTCTATTGTATTTTTTTTTCTCTTTCCCCAATACACTTGAAATGATAAAGGAGAAGAGTTTGGACTCCATGAAAATTGTTTAATATATTTTGATGTACCAAATAATCAATTGACACATAAAATACAGTAGAAAATTTCATATAGTAATTAAAGTAAAATTTTAGGATTGCTAAATTCATTGTAGAAAGAAATATGAAAGTTATATTAGTGTAGATTTTACGCAAGAGATCTAAACTCAAAAGACAATTCACATTAACTCTAAATATGGATACACAGATGAATCGAATGTTTCATTAAAAAGTTCCAATAAAATATACTAATAAGTAAAATATATGTATACTTCTTTAAATTTGGTTAGTATGGTATTAAATGAGATTTGCATAATATTAAAGTAAAATTTTAATTTTAATTAAAAAATAATATTAATTATACTTAAGAAATTGTCACAATATAATTTTCCTTGGATTCTCAATGAGTGACAAGCAGGTTATGTTCACCAATTTACCTTTGTTCCCCAATTCTTAGCAAGTTAACATTATCCTTTATGCGAGTAGTGTAAAAAAAAAAAAAAAGTTTAACTCTCTTTTTTTTTTTTAACTTTATTATTATGATGATAACTAGTACTAGGTAGCAGGACACACGTTGTGAGGGGATGCATGCTTTTCTTTTTCTGAATCCAACGGTTGGATTCGGCACAAGGTTCATCCATGATCGACGGTTTGTGTTGTTCCGTTGTGGCGGGAAATTGGCGGGAGAATGAGAAAAGAGACAACACAATTACACACAGAGTTATCATTAATTAAATTGTTTGGTTTTTTTATAATGTTTGTTGTGACTTTGTGGCTTTACCAAGAGTGAGCGCAGTGAGTTGGAATTTCCCATACTGGAATGGATAGGACAACACCGACGGCAGGTACAGAGTTCTGTGCAAGTGGGGCCCACTTGATGAATTTTCGGTGTCTGTTTACGTTCACATTTCCATTAGACTTTACGTACTTTATTTCTTTCTTTGCATTGTCTTTCTCCCATTTTAAGTTCGTAAACAGTAAATCCTTCAAAAATCACAATATCTATCTCCTTTCACCATATACATTTAAATGTTTCAACCTTAAATTACATTTTTTTTTTTAAGAAAATAAACAGTGTTAAGATTAATAATTAAGAAAATATATTTATTGAAAAAATACATAATTCTAATTGAATTTAAGTAAATCATTGTGTTCTGTTTGATTTAAGAAATTAGTATAAAGAAAAGAAAAAAATATAAAATAAGATTGTTTTTTATGGTGTATAAATAGTAGGAAAAAAGAAACAAACTATGTGCATAAAAAATGACATAAATATTATTATTAAAAATTATATGGATAAATAAGAATATTTTAGGCATTTTACTTAGTAAACTTGTCTTATTTTCATTTCTCTTCGAAATCAGAAGAAACAGTATTTGTGTGGAACTCACTATTTTTTTTTTCTTCTTACCAATCAAATATGGGAAAAGTGTTTGATAATTATGCATTCTTTTTTCTCCTTTCCTTTTGACTCCTTTTCTATTGTTTCAAAGTGACAGTATAAACCATAATCCATTGGATCAATTTATCCAGATGTTCTAATAAATATAATACAATAAATGCTCCTTGATTAATGTTTTATAAACAATTATTAGTAATATAATTTTAATTTTAAATTTATAATTAATGTTTTATAAAAAATTATTAGTAATATAGCTTTAATTTTAAACTTTAATTTAAATATTATTTTAAAAAAATTCGTTACAATTTAATTTAACAATCATTAGTAAAAAATTATATATTCTTTGATTAAATGCTTTTGACTTAAAAATAAAATGACCTTTTTTTAATGATATTATAATAATTTATAAATATAATTTTTATTTATCTAATAAAATTTTACATTATATGTACTTATTTGTACATATTTTTTATTTTATTATTTATTTTTATTTAATATAAAATATTTAATCAATATTTTCTTTTATAAATAATTAGTAAAAAAAATTATCGTGCTTATGCATGGATTACTTAATAATTTATTTTAATTATACATATTTCTAAAAAATCTATTGTAACCGTGTTTTCTGCTACGACTTTAACTCTCAACAGATCATATAATAGTTAACCTTTTATGCTTACGATAAGAGTTTGATGACCCAATTTTGATGATAGATCTATAAAAAAGATGGACACTTATTTAGCCTGAATATTCAGTTGAAGGCCTTAAAGTGTATACAATAGGAACAATTTTCTTGACAATAACAAATAGCTATGATCTAAATTCTAAAAGTTGCCTACAATTGACCAATTCATGTATTAATGTTATGTCATTTTTCTTTTGTGCTTTTCTTAACAACAAATAAGAGGTAGTTACTCGCAATATCAGGGGAAAAGAATACCTGACATGATCGTCCGGTTTGTTATGATTCAATTTGCCAAGCACATTAGTTAACTATTAAGTGTCCTCCTTGATGACAAATTTTAAATATATGATCAGTCAAAAAAGTTGATACTAATTTATTTTAGAGAAGTCGACAAAAATCCTTGAAGTATACATAATAGAATCAAATTTCTTAACATTAATGAATAACTTACGAACTACTTTCTCCACAAATATTTAAAGAAATAAAAACAAAAATGAGCGCAATTTATTTTGGCGGAAAAGAGTATATAAAAGAATAAGTAGACAATTAACATTACCCCCATAACAAAATACCAGCTAGTGTATATTTTTCCCCCTTTCATCGTTAGATTCAGAAAGAACCATGGAAGTGTATTGTTGCATCGTTACAGCATTCATTTTATAACAGAGGATAAGGGCACAAGACAGAAGTGGATATTTTGTGAAATTGAAAGTTGACCACAAGTATGATTACAGTAGTACATGTGAATTGCAGGCAAAACATAATATATTTGGTTAGCAAATCTCCTTGTATGGCAATTAGATTGGGAGGCAGTGATATGTACTAGGCTAGCTAAATTTTCATCTCAAGACTAAATTTAGAGGAAAAATTTGAAATTCAGAAGATTAATGTGCTAACTGGGGTTGTTAAGGAGGATAAAAAAGGATATGAAGTGGAGAAAAAAAAAATGTTTCGTGGGCATACATAGATGATGTACAATACATGCCGCAACATTAGGTCTCTGGAAGCGCATGATTAAAGAGGCCACCCTCCCTGGATGACGTGGCAGAATATGATTGGGGGTTTTGGTCTCGTCGGGATTCATCCCAACACACCAATAAACAATGGAAGTCGTTCTCACTCGTTTTTCCTCTCTCTCTTTTCTCTTTCTCTTTCTCTTTCTCTTTCTTTCTCTTTCTTTCCATCCATCTGTGTTTTTCTCTCTGCAGAATTCCCCCAATTTCTCTCCCACCCTATCTCCTCTGCTTCTGAAAGTGGCGCATTCGCAAGGAGCAATGCGAGATCTTCCGTAGGAGTGGTGTATTGATGCATGATTGGATGAATTAAACAGTGAGTAAAGTGGAAATGCTAGAGGCAATGGAGAGTTCGGTCAATGGAGGCTTCTCTCATTTGCAGAGCTGTGGAGACAGTAGCGAAGAGGAGTTATCAGTGCTTCCTCGCCACACCAAAGTGGTTGTAACTGGAAACAACCGCACCAAATCGGTCCTCGTTGGTCTTCAAGGTGTTGTTAAGAAAGCCGTTGGCCTTGGCGGATGGCATTGGCTGGTAATTGTAATTCCTTCACTCATTCTTTTGCATTTATTGTCGATGCTCAATTTTCCTTTTTCTGTTTCATTATTTCCTTACTCCTCCAATTTAATTGCTCTCTTCTTTCTCAACTAATCACAAACCCTACTGCTTAATTCTTATCCACTCACCTTTTTCAATTTACAATTTCAAATCTCCTCTTCTTCGTCTTCTCCTTTCAATGCCTTTTACTATTTTATATTCTCAATTTCGAATCCATTGCATGTCTTTCTTTATTGCTGGATCTGGTGTTTTCTGAGCTGCTCTGTCAGGATCAGTCGCTAATTGGCTCTTTTCTTTGCTTTTATTAATTCAGCCAACTAAATTAAATGATCTTTCAACTCCTATTCCTAATTCTAGGTCTCACCTATCAATTCACTATTTTACGCTCTTTTCGCATTGTTTCCTATTTTAAATAATTCATTTTTTGCATTGTTTCTTTTTTTCTCTTCTTTTTCCTCAAACGGATGCCGATGTTCAATTTGGGATTCTTGATTTATTGCATGTTCATTACTTGCATGTCCTTTTTTTTTTGCCTCCCTCTTTCAGGGATAAGGCATATGCGATTTCTGATTGTGCTTTGATTCAACTTGTCCTATTGATATTTTAATTGAATCATATAGAAGCGTTTTGCTGGCATTGTGGACGAGAAGCTAATCATTAATTTAATTATATATGGTTAATTAATTAATGGTTCGAATTTTATTTTTTCCCCCAATTTCATCTTTCTAGTTTATTTTGTTCGTCTTTTTTACAATACTGATTGAATTTGCATCGTACATGATCAATTCGCATTAAAATCAAGTCTGTCTAGGGCCTTTTTCTGGGATATTTGTAGTTTAATATTGTTTATGCGCTTTTAGATTATTTGAAATCAGGACGGCATTTGTGGTTCTTAATTGGTATTAACAATTGCAGGTTCTTACAAATGGTATTGAAGTGAAGCTCCAGAGGAATGCTCTTAGTGTGATTGAGGCACCCACTGGTAACGAGGAGGACGATGACCTTGAATTTGAAAATATGCAGTGGAATGGATCAGATATGGGTGAGTTTCACACTTCACAGTTTTTTAATGTTTTGCTTGCTTACTGGCATTGGTATTATGATCGAAGTATCCAGCTTTGCATGTTGACTGTTACTGCTATTGTGTGTGCATCCGACACTGAAAGTAGGCTTATATGATACTGCTGTGATATTTTTAATAATTAATTCATTTAATTGTTGTTTTGGGTTCCATATCCGTGTGTTTGCAAAGTGGTAGAGGTTGGTAACATTGGATCCGTTACGTCTTCTGCTTTTGCTTTTGCTCTCCCTAAAGTTGTGGCGTCCTACTTTTAATCTTTGTTGACCCCACCACTTGTTTTTTATTCTTATTTTTTTTTTTAAATTTTGCGTGCTTTGTTTGATATCTCAGCATCGGACGACACACAGAAATCCCACAAATCGAGGCATAGAATGCATAGAGCATTGGGATCATCTCACAAGACCATGAGTAGGTCCTTCTCTGGCGATTCACAGTCGAAGGGGTCCGTTTCTATGCCTCATGGGTCCACGGTATATCAACTTTTTTGTTTTTCTTAATTTATTTACCTTCCTGCTGTGAAAGTAAATGATGCAATGTTTAGTGTTTTAATTATTAACGTTTTTTTTAATAAATATTTTCTGTAGATGGTCGATTTGAGCAAACTTGAAATGGCTGCACTGTGGAGATATTGGCGACATTTTAATCTAGTAAATTCCTTAGAACTAACTGTTTGGTTACTGTCCCATAAAGATGGTTTTTGCAGCGGGTGTATGTGTCCTAATTGTACTTACATTTTGAAATGGTTCTGTAGGTGGATGCGGTCCCAAACCCATCAAAAGAGCAGCTAGTAGACGTTGTTCAAAGGCATTTCATGTCGCAGGTATCTAACAATTTGCGGTTGCATATTTGTTTGTCTTAAATGGTAATCATAGAAATATTCTCTGGTTCTCAAATGAGGTTTATAGTGGTGAATTGCATACCCGTTCCCAATCTCTTTCGGAGTAAACTTATTTCTATAGTTAAATTAAATTTGATACTTGATTTTTTAATTATAGTGTTTTTGTGTAATACCAACCTAATTATTGTTAGTATTTTAAATAATTAATATTATTTTGTTATTAATAATTAGTAAAAGTTTACATACGCAGGAAACCCATAGGTTAAAAAATCCAGTTTAGCATATTTTCACCATCCTGTGATTCTTAGCAAGTCACGTTACTATGGAAGCATGTCACCCTAATCTACCCCAAGAAAAAAGCATTACCTTTAAATGTACTGTGTATTTGTATATGATGAAGTAAGATCTTGTAAAACTTGAACATGAATTTGGCAGTCGTAGTCTGAAACTGTGTTTTTCTTTTTTGTTTTCTTTTCTCGTTAAGCAAATGGACGAGTTGCAGGTCATCATGGGATTTGTTCAAGCTGCGAAGAGGCTTAAGACTGTGTGCAAATGAGATGTAATGATGCGAGAAATGACATTTGATAAGTTATATTGTCTATGCTAACAAAGATAATGTATGTAATGTCCACTTCCCTTCGTATTATGTAACTATCTGTGATTCGTAACTTTCTGATATAGTAGTAGGTTAGTATTTTGAGGTTATAGAGGTTCTTCACTCTTTCGTTAGCCACCCAGTTATGTAGATATGTATGTGACCTTGCAACTGGATCGTTAGGGAAGTCTCGATGGCTTTCTTTTCAACTTGATTCAATGTATTGCTGACCTGGGAAGTGGGTTTTCAGAGACCTTAATGTATATATATTTAGTTTCTTTAAACTTTGATTCATCTTTGATGAATTTTTGTGTTTTGCTGCTTCGGTGGATTGGAGAACTGGTGCCCCTGCTACATCTATACAGTGGCTGGATTGGTGGTTAATCAATTCAGAGATATCGTTTTAGCGTAAGAATGTGTTAGATAAGTTATTCGATTAATTGTATTATTTTATAAGTCTTATTAATAATTTGAGGTGTTCGATAAATGGATTTATGACTGTTATTTTTTTTAGGTTAAATTAATTTTTTAATTTTTAGAATTTCAATAAAATAAGTTTTTTTAGTCTCTATATATATTTTTAATCTGTTTTAGTCTTATATTTTTTCAATCCCTTTTGGTTTTTATAATTTAAGATAAATTTTTTTAGTCGCTTGTAGTATTTTATTATTTTAGTGTTGTTATCAATTTATTTATTATTTTTTGTTATGTCTATATTGTGTTGATAGGATAGGTCTTTAAGCATGTGAGGTAAGAAAAGGAGTCTCAGTATTGGGTGTTTCACAGATGAGGATACAAAAGTGGTAGGAAACGATGAGAGGCTTAATTTAATGGAAAAGTATTGAAAATTTTAGAAATTAAAAAGATTTATCTTAAATTATGGAGATTAAAAATAATTGTAAAAGAAAAGTAAAGAGTAAAAAGTTTTAAACTATAAAGATTAAAGTATAAAGTTAGTGAAGCTTCAAAAACTTAAAAGAGTATTTCAATTTTTCTTATTGTTTTAACCTCAATCTATTCAATAGTTTTTTCATTTACTATCTTATTTAATATTCTATTTGTTTTAATAATTCAACAGTTTATATAATTTATTTTATTAAAATAATTTAGCTTAAAAATTAAGAGAAAATTTAATTAAATTAAAAATCTTAAAATTATTGTACTTTTTTTATAAAAAAAAATATAGGTTCTATAAAATAAAAATATATAGTGGGGCATATAATTTTTTTTTTCTTCTCATTTACATTTATCAAACACTTAAATTATTTTTAAAAAAGCTTATTTTTTGGTGTAATAGGTAGCAATGAGAATTGAATTTAAAACTTTAAAAAAATTATAAGAAATATATATTTTAGATTATTTTAAAGGTTAATGTCCGATTGTATTGGTTCAAACAAAATTAAAATTAAATACTTTTAAGATTTTGAATTCAAATTCAAATATTATGAATAAAAAACTCTAATTTTGATCGAAAGTTTCGTTAATGATAAATAAATTCTTTGATAAAAGTTAATTATTAGTAAAAATTGATGAATGGTTTAGGTATAATAAATTAAATGCTTTAATATGTTTTTAAGTCATTCATATTTAAGATAAATTTATTTTAAAATTTTTAAATCAAAATTAATGTTTTTAGTCCTATAATTTCAAAAAATTCATTTTAATTTTTATATTTAAATTTTGTTAAAAAATTTATTAAAATATTATCGCATTAAAATTTATTTATAAGTGTCTCTTGTAGTGAAAACATCACATCAAACATAATGTACCAATTTGTTACTTTCAGATATGTTATTATTGACTCGAGTGACTAAAATAATATTTTTTAAAATTATAAGAATTAAAAATAATAATTTTAAATCTGAGACTTAAAAAAAAATTATTACTAAAGAAGTATTTAAGTCTAAATTAAATATTAAAATATGACTGTATGACAAATAATGCAATAAAATAATTTTTTTACTGAATGAAATTATAAAAATATAAAGCTGATCGAGTACTATCTATAATGGTGAAAAACCGAAGTGGGGATGCTATAACAGCTAATCCATTAGGTAAAACGTACGATCTGTGAAGATTGCTTCCTCCAAATTCGTAAGTTTCAATTTGGAATGTAATTGACAGCAGGGTACCCTCTGCGAAAGCAAAAACAATGTTCCATACAATTTCAAATTCAAACTTTCAAAATGCTGGGGAATTCGAGCCGTTACGTTTAGTCTATTAGAAGAATATACATGAATCAATTGATTTGGTAACATTGGTGTTTTTATATAAACGTAAAAAATAATATTAAAACTTTAATTTTTATTTGATAATGCTTTTATTTTTAATGAACCTTTAAACTTTTAGTTCTACAATATGTTTTTTTACTGGTTTTAACCCCTAATAATTATTATATATATTTTACATTTGAATTTTGATATCCGTTATTTGAACTTAGTCCATGTAATGGTGGGTACACATAAAATACTTTGGTTCATGTTACATTAGTCACCATAATATATAATTTTTAAGAATCGAAGATCAAAATTGTCAGCAGAGAATTCAATAAAATTTTGATATATTAGAAACTAAACTCAAGTAAAGGATTAGGAATTAAAACAGAGAATTGTTTGAAAGGGTTTTTTTTTTTGTAACAAATAAACCAAAAAAACTCTACATTACCGTAAAAAAAATTATTTAAGCCTATCTAAAAAAAGAAAAACGAATTGTACCACGAATAATTTAAATCCTGTTTCACCATTCTTATAAATAAATTTCTTAACTATTAAATAAAGTTCTTAATATGTTTCATATATGCAAAAGTTTTTTAAATATATTTTTTTCATGTTATACTTTTTGTAATCATCGATAATTATTATAAAAATATTACAGAAGAATATAACAATCTGTTGGTTGAAGAACTTGCAGTCTAATTACCATTCGTTATATGCTCAAGTTTTGGCGTTTTTAAGGTAACAAAAAAATAATATTATCATAGTTTTATTTGAATAGAATGTTCTGTCCTTTGATTGTGATGATATTTCGTTGTCTAGACTTAACAATTTTGAAGCACTCTCTGTTTCGCTGGTGACAAAAACTAGTCTCCCTAAAAGGTGAGAAATATCCAAATCAACATCCGATGAAAAAGGCAAGATAAACAAAAATGGCAGCATGTATAGAAGGATATAGATACAGATATAAATATAATAGAAAAAAAGAAAAGGAAACCTATTATTAATTATGATTTTATTTGGTGGCACTAGCGTAATGTTTCCGTTTGAACATTGTGGGGATGAGTGTGTGTTTGTTACATCCTTTTCCTCCTCAGAAAAAATATCCATCCCCGATTCATCACACTCATCATCCCCATCATGTGAGTCAAAATCAGAGGATTTTTGTATCAAAACGGGGCCCATAAACACATGCAAAGCCAAGAACATGCATTTGTTTGAACCTTAGACCCACTATTTTAAAATATATGTGATTGAAATACTGCCACACACTCTTTAGTACTATTAATTAAAATGCTTTAAATATTATAAAATTGTTTGACTAATTTCATAAATTTTACTTATAATTTATAATAAATTTTAACTAATAAAAATTGTATTAAAACAGTGTTGTTTTATACGCATATGGTGTTTTAAAGGAGAAAATATCTTATAATGAAAACATTTTGAAGGATGAGATTGAAAGTCACTCTTTACTTCTCCCCTTTCCCTTGTTTTTTTCTCTCCATTGCAGACGACACACCTACGGCTTGGGACTCAAAATAATATAAACTTCTGATTAAATAATTTACAAAAAGAAAAAGGTACGAATTAACCATCCAAAAAAAAACTCAAATCTAACAAAAGATAAAACTAATAAGTAGTATGCAGGTAGAAATGAATCCTCACTTTAAAAGTAGATTTTATAAGATTGGATTAATTTTAATATTATTTTTTTATAAAATTTTATGAATATAATGACTGTGATTTGTTTGTGGAGTAGCACAGATGTTGTGATGTGAATGAAGAAGAACATGAATTGAGACGTGAACCAAGGACGAGGGTCAATTTCGACCAGGACAAAAAAAAGGCTATGTGAGGGAAGCAAATTGAAGAGGAGCAAACACGTGACTTTTTTTAATTGGGTCATTGTATACATTAACTTTATCAATAAAACTACTAAATTAAAACCTTAATCTCTTATATAGCTCAACAAAGAAACTTTCTTTATATTTAAGGATCACCGGAAGACTAATAGACATATCTTCATTTTCGGATGGAAGGTTAATTATGTGTTCACCTCATTATAAAATTCAAAAGTTTGTTTAAATATATTTTTATTTTCTTAAATTTAAAGTATATTTATTTTTAATTTTTTAAATTTAAAATTGATCTTTTTAATTCTTGTAGTTTCAAAAAATATTATTTTTAATTTTTATACTCATATTTTGTTAAAACATTTGTCAAATATTGTCACAAAAATTTATTTATAGATCCTTTTATTAGTTAAAACATCACATTAAATCTAATTGATATGACATAACCATTTTAATCTATCAGTCACTTTCTGATATGTTATTGATGACCTAAAAGCTTAAAATAAATTTTAAAAAATTATAGAAATTAAAAATAATAATTTTAAATTTGAGTAATCAAAAATAAATTTATCATAAATTTAAGAGAATTAAAACATATTTAAATCAATTCAAAAATTATTGTCCAATTTAATTTTAATTAATTTTAAAATTATTAAATAAATTACTTTTATTTTTTATGTATGACAAATTTATTTCTATTTACCGGTCCTTTTTAAGTTTTACTATGATATTCCTTATTCCAGTTAATTTATAAACACTTTTTAGTTTAACTTTTTAAAATGATGATGTTAACTTATATACATAGGTCACTTTTAACAAGGAAAAATATAACTCATCAAACTTCCTTATTTTCTTCTCTTACACGCGTTTATCGATTTTTTTTTTCTAACATAACGTAAAAATTCACTAGGTGCTTCTTTGCATTTTTTTTAGCATGTACTTGTTGTCGATGGACCAAATGGAATTTGAATAAGATCTAATATATATATGTCTCTTTTTATGTACTTACATTATTCCTTCTTGCATCACTTAAACTTTCCAACTCGAACCTTATGTGTCTGAACCTATCTCATCCAAGTAAATTACTATTTTTGCATATTCTTTTGGGGTTCAATAGCTACATTTTCAAAATATTTTAGAAAAAGCTCGTGAAATAGCATGATAAAAAAGGTTGGAGATTTAACTTGTACAACGAAAATAAGATACATCCAAATGAATTTCATTAGAAAGACGGTG